TGCGCTGGTGCAGCCACGGCTAACTGCAGCCTCAACCTCGTAAGCTGAAGTGATCCTCTTGCCTCAGCCTCCCATGTAGCTGGGGACTACAGCTTGTGACACCATGCCCACCCAAGTTTCAAATTTTTTGTAGAGATGGGTATCTCATTATGTTGTCCAGGCTGGTCTTGAACTCCTGGGGTAAGTGATCCCCCTGCCACAAGTAGCCTCCCAAAGTGCTGGGATTATAGGCATGAGCCAGTGCACCTGGCCAAAGGAAAGGTGTTTTTTTTTTTTTTTTTTTGAGATGGAGTCTCGCTCTGTCACTCAGGCTGGAGTACAGTGGCGTGATCTTGGCTTACTGCAACCTCTGCCTCCTGAGTTCAAGTGATTATCCTGCCTCAGCCTCCTGAGTAGCTGGGGTTACAGGCGTGCGCCACTGTCCTGGCTTATTTTTGTATATTTAGTAGGGATGGAGTTTCACCATGTTGGTCATGCTGGTCTCAAACTCCTGACCTTGTGATCTGCCTGCCTTGGCCTCCCAAAGTGCTGGGATTACAGGCATGAGCCACCGCGCCCAGCATGCCCAGCTGAAAGGGAAGTTCTTAAGGCATGGGAAACAATGTGTTTGAGTTGGCAAAGGAGGTTGGGGGGAGGTTATCCTAAGTGTAGTAAGCAGCCATAGTTGGATTTAAGCTTTTAAGAGATTCCCCTCCACCCTGTAGAGACTGGAGTGAGCAGGAGTGGGTCTAGGGATTAGGACCGATTAGGAGATACTGCAGTTGTCAGAGTGAAAGATGACAGGGCTTGAACTAGGCCAGTGGCAGGGGTGCCAGAAAGAAGAGGACCCAGTAGAGCAAACTGGAGGCAGATAGGCAGGGATTTAATGACGGAGTGTACCAAGGGTGAGGCTGGCATGCAGAATGACTGGTAGTTTTCAAGCCTGAGAAGGCAGGGTGGAGGGCAGTGGACTTGAGGAAGCTGGAAGGATCAAGGACCTCTTTGTGGACACACTAAGTCTGAGATGCCTTGGGCACATTGAAGTGGAGCTGTCAGGGAGGCAAGGGTGGAGGTGGGATGAGGAGGGGAGGTGGGACGCAGAGCATTGTGGATGGAGTTTTTGCTTGATGGAGGGACATTTTTTCCTGTGGCAACAGAAGGGCAAGAGAAGGTGGCCACAGATGCTGGTAGGTGAGCTGAGAGCGATTATTATCCCCATCCTCTCTGAAGCTTGAGGCAAGGCAATCAACAGACAGTCAAAGGGAATAAGAAGAGATATTTGAATATTTGAAGAAAGGGAGAAAAGTATGAAATCATAATTGTGTAGCAGGGCAAGAAGTCCAGAAATTTCTGTGCTGTGCCAAGTGCCCAGTTGAGGTGGTGAACATGAAAATGTACTGATACCCATCACCTGGTTTTTCTCCAAGGACACTTGGCTCCTAGGGCACAAAACAGAAAGTACGTGGTTCGCCCAGGCCTGGGATTTGCGTAGGTGCAGTGGATGGAGAGGAGGTCAGGGAGTGGAGGCACACAGTAGAAAGTGACTGTCCCCACAGCATGGGGACTCCTGGCTGGATGAGGGGGACAGGGGCAGGAGGAGACAGGTGGAAAGTGGAGGAAGGGCTCAGTGGTCTGGAGGCTACAGGAAGTGACAGGGAGACTAGAAGGAGCTGGGAGCCAGTGTAGTTGTGGCCCAGGGTAGGATGTTTGGATTTCTGATGTCAGAGAGGGTGCAGTCCTACTGATGACGGGGAGGGGCAGAGGCTGAAGCTATGGTAGAGATTGTGAGAGGAACTGGAACAATGTAGCTGTCAAGTAGAAATGGGGGACTGGGCGCCGTGGGTCATGCCTGTGATCCCAGCACTTTGGGAGGCTGAGGCAAGAGATCACATTAGCTCAGGAGTTCAGGGTTGCAGTGAGCTGTGATTGTGCCACTGCACCCCAGCCTTGACAACAGAGTGAGACTCTGTCTCTTAAAAAAAAGAAGAAGAAGAGGAAGAAAGAAAAAATTGTCCTATTAAATCCCTTTTAAAAATGACACTTAAGGCTGGGCGAAGTGGCTCATGCCTGTAATCCCTGCACTTTGGGAGGCCAAGGCAGGCAGATCACTTGAGGTCAGGAGTACAAGACCAGCCTGGCCAACATGGTGAAACCCTGTCTCTACTGAAAATAGAAAAATTAGCTGGATGTAGTGGCACACACCTGTAGTCCCAGCTACTTGGGAGACTGAGGCACAATAATCTCTTGAACCCAGGATGTGGAGGTTACAATGAGCTAAGGCCACTGCACACCAGCCTGGATGACAGAGTGAGACTCTATCTCAAAAAAAAAGTTACTTAGCTTAGATTGTCTCCATACATATAGGAAGAAGATAAAGCAATGAATTGTGCTGCTACAGTTACGTAATCTGGACAGACCCAGAAACATGATACTTTTCGGTCTTCTGTAGTCTTGGTGCTATTGTTGATCTTTATTAATTATCTTTATTCTCAAAATAGCTGCAATGTGCTGAATCTCTTACTGTTTGCTGGGCAGAGGCTGAGTGTTTCAGCGAGCTCGAGTCCTTACAATTGCATTTTGAGAGAGAGAGAGATTATTATTCCCACTTTACAAGGGAAGAAATTGAGGTTTAGACATATCCAAGGGCCACATGAGTGTGGATGCCTGGAATTGGAGCCTAAATCTAGTCATCTGATGGCAAAGCCTGTTTTCTTATCTTCTTTGCATTAAATTCAAGTTTAATATAGAACAATACTGGCTAGGCTTGGTGGCTCAGCACTTTGGGAGGTTGAGGCAGGCAGATCACCTGAGGTCAGGAGTTCGAGATCAGCCTTGCCAACATGGCAAAACCCCATCTCTACTAAAAATACAAAAATTAGCTGGGCGTGCTGGCATGTGCCTGTAATCCCAGTTACTTGGGAGGCTGAGCCAGGAGAATTGCTTGAACCCGGGAGGCAGAGGTTGCAGTGAGCCAAGATGGCACCACTGCACTCCAGCCTGGGCAACAGGGCAAGACTCTGTCTCGGAAAAAAAAAAAGTGTATGTTTATATGGTGGGGAAGTTTGGGTATAAAAAGACAACCAAGAGGAATGAATGTCTTAAGCGAATGGCTGTGTCCTCATCTGCTTTCTCCCCTGCTGGGAGGAAAGACCGGGGTCCCTAGAGGTCTCAGTTACCTCCAGAGCTGAGCACCACAGGGATACAGAGGAACAGGGATGTTACCTGTCACTGATGATTCAGAGAGATGATTCAGGGTGTAGTTACCTGAAAGAATGAATTACCATGCCAGACATCTTGGTTCTTATGACAGAGGCAAAGGTTGCCTCCAGGTTTGCCCAAATTGAGACGAGTTCTGGGAACCTCATGAAGAGGACTTTTCAGTGGAACATGGGGAGATTCTCTTCTTCAGTGGCTCACACTGGATTTAGGAAAGCTCAGAACTGGATGATTCCTCAACCTCTTGATTTATTTAATTCTTTTCTGGTTTTTCTTGGCTCTACTCCAGGGGAATACGGAGAGAACGGTCTGGCAATACCACTTTCGGACCTGGCCGGACCACGGAGTGCCCAGTGACCCTGGGGGTGTGCTGGACTTCCTGGAGGAGGTGCACCATAAGCAGGAGAGCATCATGGATGCAGGGCCGGTCGTGGTGCACTGCAGGTGACAGCCCCTGCCACCCCTCTATGCCACAGCCTGTCCCTGTCTCCTGGCGCCAAGGGCTTGCTTTTATCTACCCACCCCTCAGCTCTTTAACTGTAGGAAGAATTTAATATCTGTTTGAGGCATAGAGCACCTGCATTGAGGGACATTTTGATCCCAAGGTGTATTTCTTCTAGGTTCCACAGCACTGCCATTGGCTGTGGGCATTGCAACATGCTCAGTTAAAACTGCAAGGATTAAGTCAGCATTCTCTCTGAGACTACTAGAAGTTGTGCATTAAACAACTTCATCCTGGCTCTGCAGATTCTCCTCATTCTTTGTGATGTTTGCTCTGTAGGTGTTGACTGCTGTGTAGATATCGAGGTAGTGGGGGTGTGGTGGACATAGACCTGATTCTTGAGGATCCCTTAAGTCATTCTTACTTTTTTTTCTAATATAGTAATTTAGGATTCATCTCTTTGTGAGTCTGTTCTCTTTGTGTGTGTGTGTGTATGTGTGTGTGTGTGTGTGTGTGTGTGTGTGTGTGTGTGTATGTATGTATGTTTTGTTGTTTGTTTCATGTTTTTTTTGTGTGTGTCTGTGAGATAGAGCCTTGCTCTGTCGCCCAGGTTAGAGTACAGTGGTGCCATCTTGGCTCACTGTAGCCTCCGCCTCCTGGGTTCAGGCTATTCTCCTGCCTCAGCCTCCCAAGTAGCTGGGATTACAGGTGCCCGCCACCTCACCTGGCTAATTTTTGTATTTTAGTAGAGACGAGGTTTTGCCGTGTTGGGCCAGGCTGAATGCTTGACCTCAGGTGATCTGCCCACCTCTGGCTCCCAAAGTGTTGGGATTACAGGCGTGAGCCACCACGCCCAGCGATTCTGTTCTCTTCTACCATAAATATATTTCTCCCCTAGCACTATACTTGTTTGCTTCACAAGATTCCAGCCGCTTTCCACCAAGGCCTTTGATGGAAGCTGTGCTCCTCTGTAATGAGTCTGTAGGTTGCTGATCTCCAGTTTGGGCTTCATGATTACATTGGGGAACATTGAGTTTCCTAAATCTCATTCATTTCTTGGGCAAGTAGATATATGTGAAACTTTTTATTTGTCCAGTTGTTAAAAAGGCTACCATTTATTCAACCAGTCTCTGAGCCAATGTTTTTTTTTTTTTTTTTTTTTAATTTTTTAAATTATTACTTCTCTTTTAATGATTTTATTTATTTATTTTTTGAGAAGAGTCTTGCTCTGTGACCCAGTCTGGAGTGCAGTGGCACGATCTCAGTGTACTGTAACCTCTGCCTCCTGGGTTCAAGCAATTCTCATGTCTCAGCCTCCCAAATAGCTGGGATTACAGGTGCACGACAACATGCCTGGCTGATTTTTGTATTTTTAGTAGAGATGAAGTTTTGCCATGTTGGCCAGGCTGGTCTTGAACTCCTGGCCTCAAGTAATCCTCCTGCCTCAGCCTCCCAGAGTGCTGGGATTTCAGACGTGATCCACTGTGCTGGGCCCTCTTTCAATAACTTTGATGTATTTTTTTGTATATGATTGCTGTTTGATTCTGTACACCTACCACTCTGTATGGTATGTGCTGTTGTCCCCATTTCACAGATGAGGAAACCGAGGGTCAGAGAGGTTAAGGGACTTGCCACAGGCATGTTGTACTGGAGAAGTTGAACTCCAAGAGCAGGTTTGGGCTGGCTCCAAAGCCCTATGCTTTTTGCCAGCATATTTTCAGACATAAATAGACAATTTTATAAATAGGTCCCAAGAATAGACATTGTTTCTGTTAATATTAATGGCTTGGTTTTGAGTCTGAAACCCCCATGAATGATTCCATTGTCCCTGCTTTTTGTCTTTCTGCTTGCAGTGCTGGAATTGGCCGGACAGGGACGTTCATTGTGATTGATATTCTTATTGACATCATCAGAGAGAAAGGTGGGTCATCTGGAGGGCAAGAAGCAACAGTCTCTGTTTTTAGTTTATGGAAGGAAAGTGCTCATGGAAACAGCTTAGGGAAGAGATGTTGAATGGGAAAAATTTTTCACAAAAATCTGGGCTGAAGACTTCAGCATGTCTGCCTAAGGACAGAAGTGACACTCTTTGAGCTTTTGGCATAAAATGAAGCCTAGGAGCTGCAGAACCCAGTGCCATGGCCTTTTGTTGCATACACAGTGGTGGTCTCTATTCAGACACCTGACCTTCTTTACAGTATGGGGTGATGTGTTGGAAAGTTAGGAAATCCTGACCTCTGCCACTTTATCATTTACATAATCTTCTGGGATCATTGCTATTGGTCAGAAGTTCAATGCTGTCACCATTGCAACATGTTCAGTTAAAACAGCAAAGACTAAATCAGCGTTCCCTCTGCGTCTGTCTACTAAAAGTTATGCATTAAACAAATTCATCCTGGCTCTGCAGTTTCTCTTTATTCTTCATGATGTTTCCTTCGTAGGTGTTGACTGCGACATTGATGTTCCCAAAACCATCCAGATGGTGCGATCTCAGAGGTCAGGGATGGTCCAGACAGAAGCACAGTACCGATTTATCTATATGGCGGTCCAGCATTATATTGAAACACTACAGCGCAGGATTGAAGAAGAGCAGGTACCAGCCTGAGGGCTGGCATGTGGATTCTCATTCTCTTTCTAGGCCTCTTGGATATGCTTTCCTTTTGAGCAGGAGGACAGGCTGTTGATAGTCAACTGTTTGATTTGGGAATTGGAAACAAACTCCCAACTAAGAGGGCCTCTGGAAACTTAATTATTCCCTACTTCTCATCTCTGGTGTTTCACTCCAGAGGAGCTTAGGGAAGGGCACCATTCTATCAGCCTGGCCTGCCAGATTGAAGAACTGCCATGCAGAAAAGTTGTGATGTTCCCAGGCTTATGTGGCAAACATAGAACTCAAAGCCTTAAAGTTTCTATCTTGTTCCAGCTTTGATCCATGCCGTGTTTATCCTGATTCCATCCCTTAAAACGAATGCCTCACTCTTAATAGCGCATGGCAGTTTGAACCACTAATTTGGTCGGGTTGGAAACAGTGAAATTTCAATTTTAATAAGCTGCGCATAATGAAGAGGAATGTGGAGTTGGAGCTTTTCCATCGGAAGCTATTCATAACAGGCACAAAGCTGAGTTAATTAGGAATATGCTGAGATGAAGGAAACGAGGAGAACTGCTCTTTTGGGGGCTGTGCTTATCTCTCCCACCCCTCAACCCCATTGCCATGCTGCAGATGGGGTAGTGTCTAAACATCCGTGGCAATTGCCTGCATTACTCTGCTTGTTGCCTTCCAGAGAACTCAGCTTCTCTAAATGGGAACTGAGCTCTTTTCAGAATGGGACCTGCCACCAATATTTGAAAGATTTCTAGTCTAGCAGAATAGCAGCCACGTTATCAAAGTCTGGTTGGCCAAAGTAAGGTACCTGCTAATTAGTTTAGTAGGTTTTCAGTCCATGCAGACATATGGGATTGTTTTATTGTACAGTAGACATCTTTAGAAACAGTGTATTTATAGAAATGTAAAATAATTAAATGACAAATAACAAGCTACCAATTTTGAACTTTCAGTGCTTTAAATCTGAATTGTATTAAGGGGTATGAAATATTTAGACGGTTACTATAAGTTATTTTATATGTGTCTTCCATGATACTTAATTTGGCCCAGGAATAGTTAGGCAGAAAGTTGCCCAAAGAGAAGGATTTCCTAATAAATACAAAGAGAATGTAGCATAATTGCTACAAGTTGGAGCATGTTCAGGAATGTCTTTTTTTTTTTTTTTGTGAGAGAGGTCTCTCTTTGTTGCCCAGGCTGGAGTGCAGTGGCACGATCATGGCCCACTGCAGCCTCAATCTCCCGGGCTTAAGCGATCCTCCCACATAAGCCTCCCAAGTAGCTGGGACTGCAGGCATGCGCCACCACACCCAGCTAATTTTCATATTTTTTGTAGTGTCAGGGTTTCGCCATGTTGTCCAGGCTGGTCTTAATCGCTTAGGCTCAAGCAATGCTCCTGCCTCAGCCTCTCTGAATAGTTAGTTAGGACTACAAGTTGGTGGCACCATACCCGGCTAATTTTTTTATCTTTATTTTGTAGAGATGAGGGCTCACTATGTTGCCCAGGCTAGTCTTGAACTCCTGGGCTCAAACAACTCTCACACCTTGGGTTCCCAAAGTGCTGAGACTATAGGTGTGAGCCACTGAGCCCAGTGACCTCTGGGTTTTTAAAAATGTGTAGGCTTTGATTATTTACTTTTTCAAATGAATCCTGCATTATATAGTTTTCTGCATTGTGTGGTTTGAATCAACCTGGGAACTGGCTGCCTGGCTGATTGTGGTAAAGTAAGAAGTACTTAATTTAGTAGGAGGTTTAAATGGCAGACATAACATTAAACCCACCTGATTTATAAATGAAGCCAAAGAACAAAACTCATTCAGGATAATTGGTTCTAAAATACAGTCATTTCTAAAATTATGAAGTGTTCAGGACCTTTGGGAGTGAAAAAATTTGCTAAAGAGGGATCAGTGAAAAAAAGGAATGATGGGTAAAGAGCCATGGGGAAGGAAGAGAAGCAACAGCACAAGGAGGGAAGAATATAAAATCAGATGTGAGAATCCAGGGGAAAGTACAGACGAAGCAAGATTCAGAAGGTTCTCAAGTTTTTATAAACAGTTCTCTTGCTCTGCCAGTTCCTTGGAGGTAGACTTTTTTGCTAACTTCCAATTACAGTAGTGAAAAAAACTCCTCAAATTTGCAAAAGCAGTCTGTGGAATTTTCTTTACCCAGCTTTCCTGGCTGTTAACTTTTTAGCACACTTAACTTTATCATTCATTTATTATCTCTGTTTAAAATTTTTAAAAAACGTAAATTTTAAAAAGTGAAATGTTTGTTGGTTACAAACATTTATACCTCTTTGTCTCTAAATATCATTTCATTTTAAAAAGTAAACAATCTAAGCCTACACATTCTAAAATGTGTATATTTTCTAAAAATAAGGGCATTCTTTTACATAACCAGTGTTACAATTATTTGATACAATGATCAAAATCAGGAAACTAACATTGATATAATATTATTACCTATCTAACCTACAGACCATATTCAAATTTTGCCAGTTTGTCCTCCTAGTATCTTTCATGGGTCCAGGGTCACACAGTGGAATTAGTTATAATGCATCTTTTTTCTTTTTTTCGAGACAGGGTCTCACTCTGTTGCCCAGGCTGGAGTGCAGTGGTGCGATTTTGGCTCACAGCAGTCTTGACCTCCTTGGGCTCAGAGGATTCCCCCACCTCAGCTTCCCAAGTAGCTGAGACCACAGGCGTGCACCACCATGCCTGATTAATTTTTGTGTTTTCCGTAGAGCTGGAGTCTCACCGTGTTGCCCCAGCTGGCCTTGAACTCCTGGACTCAAGTGACCCTCCCACCTTGGCCTCCCAAAGCGCCGGGATTATAGGTGTGAGCCACCACACTCGGCCAGTTGTTAGTATATTTAGTCTCTTTAATCTGGAACAGTTTTTCAGTCATTCTTTATTTTTTGTGACCTGGATGTTTTTGAAAAGTTTAGGCCAGCTGTTTAGTAGAATGCCTCTCAATTTGGATTTGTCCAATGTTTTCTCTTGACTATATTCCAGTCTTGCATTTTTGGCCAGACTTTCACAGAACTGTTGTTCTGTAATCTTCTTAGTACATCACATCAGGTGCACACTATTGATCTAATTCATTACTACTGGTGTTGACTTTGATCACTTGAATAATGTGGTGTCTGTCAAATTTGTCTACCATGAAGTTACTATTTTTCCCTTTTAAGTTAATCTCTTGTCCATAAAGTTTATTCTGTCTGTTTAAAATTTTAAAAAGTGAAATGTTTGTTGGTTACAAATATTTATACCCCTTTGTCTCTAAATAAATTTTTTAAAAAATATTTCTCCCTTTTAAGTTAATATCTTGTGGGTAGATACTGGAGACTGTGTAAATTACCTATTTCTTTTTATTTTATTTTATTTTATTTTCTTTCTTTCTAAAGAAGAATAAATTACCTATTTCTCGTAATACTTTTTTGCCTACTAATTTTATATTCATTGATTAAATTCTTGACTAAAAAAAATTATTACTGTAGTATTTGCCAAATGGCAATTTTCTATTTCCATCATTGCCTTTCCTCCAGCTTTTAAAAGTGTGACAAAGAAAAATTATGTATAAAGTGTACAACATGCTATTGATATATGTATACTTTGTGAAATGATTATCACAATTGAGTTAAATAATGCATCTAACATCTCAGTTACTTTTTTTTTGTTTTTTTTTTTGAGATGGAGTCTTGCTCCCTCACCCAGGTTGGAGTGCAGTGGCACGATCTCAGCTCACTACAGCCTCCACCTCCCAGGTTCAAGGGATTCTCCTGCCTTAGTCTCCCCAGTAGCTGGGATTACAAGTGCCCACCACCACGCCTGGCTAATATTTGTATTTTTATTAGAGATGAGGTTTCACCACATTTGCCTTGAACTCCTAACCTCAAATGATCCACCTGCCTCGGCTTTCCAAAGTGCAGGGATTACATGTGTAAACCATCGCACCTGGCCACTCTTGGTAAATTTTAAGTATGTATTACATTTTTTTTTTTTTTTGAGGTAGAGTCTCACTTTGTCACCCAGGCTGGAATGCAGTGGCACGATCTTGGCTCACTGCAGCCTCCACCTTCTGGGTTCAGGTGATTCCCCCACCTAAGCCTCCCCAGTAGCTGGGACTAGAGGCATGTGCCACCATGCCAGGCTAATTGCTAATTTTTAGTAGAGCTGGGGTTTCACCATGTTAGCCAGGCTGGTCTCAGGTGATCTGCCTGACCTCAGGTGATCTGCCTGCCTTGGCCTCCCAAAGTGCTGGGATTACAGGCATGAACCACCACGCCCAGCCACATTACATTATTATTATTATTCATTTATTTTTTTCCGAGACAGAGTTTCGCTCTTACACCCAGGCCGGAGTTCAATGGCGTGATCTTGGCTCACTGCAACCTCTGCCTGCCAGGCTCAAGGGATTCTCCCGCCTCAGCCTCCTGAGTAGCTGGGATTACAGGTTCCCGCCGCCATGCCCAGATACTTGTTGTATTTATTTATTTTTTATTATTATTTATTTTTAAAAAGTATATATTTTTTTCTAAGATGGGGTTTCACCATGTTGGTCAGGCTGGTCCTAAACTTCCAAACTCAGGTGATCCGCCGGCCTTGGCCTCCAAAGTGCTTGGATTACAGGCGTGAGCCACCACGCCCGGCTTCTTGTATTTTTAGTAGAGGCAGGGTTTTGCCATTTTGGCCAGGCTGGTCTCAAACTCTTGACATCAGGTGATCCTCCCGGCCTTGGCCTTCCAAAGTGCTAGGATTACAACATTACATTATTAATAACTATAATCACCATGCTATACATTAGATCTCCAAAATGTATTCATCTTATATAACTTCAAGTTTGTACCTTTTCACGAACATCTCCCTGTTTCCCCACCCCCAACCCCTGGTAATCACTGCTTTAATTTCAGTGTTTATGAGTTTGACTGGTTTAGATTCCACATATAAATGAGATCAGGCAGTGATGCTAAGATCACTTAGCATAATGTCACCTATGTTGTTTCAAATGATAGGATTTTCTTCTTTTAAAAAATAATATTAATGCTGGGCACAGTTGCTCATGCCTGTAATCCCAACACTTTGGGAGGCCGAGGAGGCTGGATCACTTGAGGTCAGGAGTTCGAGACCGGCCTGGCCAACATGGTGAAACCCCATCTCTACTAAATATAGATAAAATTAGCCAGGTATGGTGGCGCATGCCTGTGATCCCAGCTACTTGGGAGGCTGAGGCAGGAGGATCAGTTGAACTCAGGAGACAGAGGTTGCAGTGAGCTGAGATCGTGCCACTGCACTCCAGCCTGGATGTTGATGTTGTCCCACTTGTTTATTTTTACTTTTGTTTCCTGTGCTTTTGGTATCAAATCCAAAAAACCATTGCCATGGCCATTGTCATGATGTTTTCCCTATATACTCTCTTCTAGAACTTTTTAGGTTCATCATTGCTTTTTCAATTTTTAGTTGGAGGCCTACTATAAGGAAGAGCTTTCCTTTCTCTCTTATTTATTTATTCATGTATATCAGAATGGGTACCTTACTATTATTTTTTTGTTGTTGCTTAAATGGACTTGAATTTGGCTGGTGGGAACCTTTTCAGATTGGGTACTCTGTCCTTTTGATCTGTTTCCATTTTCAAGCACTTCTTTAGACTTTAGAAGATGGTCTAGGGTCATCTTCTCCTTTCCCAGCCATTTTTGAAAGGAACCTGATTCTTTGTAGTGAAGAGTAGTATTTTGAAACCAAGAGCTGGGCACTGGGTGTGCTTGTTTTTGCTGGCACAGTATTCTTTGAATTGCTAATTAGCTAATCAGTTACTGCTCTATTTCAGTTCTGTCTCTAAAACCTCACATATGTGTACAGATGATCCCTGACTTACAATGATTTGGCTTATGATTTTTGACTTTATGATGGTTTGAGAGCAATACAGCCATTCTGTTTTTCACTTTTCATTCAATACTTTATTTTAAAATAGGTATTGTGAGATGATATTGCCCACCTATAGACTAATGTAAATGTTCTGAGCACGTTTAAAGTAGACTAGGCTAAGCTGTGGAGTTTGGTAGATTAGATACATTAAATGCATTTTGACTACTGGTAATTTCAACTTATGATGAGTTTATTGGGATATATCTTCATAAAGTGGAGGAACATTATAAATATCTCTGTATAGTAGAGTGAGTTCCTTATACCCTTCATCTAGTTTCCACTAAACATGTTACCTAACCATGATACATTTATCAAAACTAAAATATTAACATCAAAACATTGCTATTAACTGAACTCTAGAGTTTAATTGAATTTTGCCAGTTTTCCAATGAATATCCTTTTTCTGTTCTAGGATCCAATTCATGATCACACATGGAGTTTGGTCACTTGTCTCCGTTGTCTTCTTCAATATGTGACAGTTTCTTAGGCTTTCCTTGTTTTTCATGACCTTGGCAATTTTTAAGAGTACTGGTCAGATATCCTGTAGAATATCCCTCAATTTGTGTTTAATCTTATGTTTTCTCATGATTAGAGTTGAGTAATGGATTTTTGGGAAGAATACCACAGAAGTATATTGTTAAGTGTTCTCATCACTTGGAGGTAAATGTTATCAACATGGCCTGGTGATGTTAAACTTGTCACTTGGTTTACATAGTATCTGCTAGATTTCTCTCACTGTATAATCACAGAGCCTCCATAACTTATGATGGGGTTACAGCCTGATAAGCCCATCATAAATTGAAAATATCGTTAGTCAAAAATGCATTTAATGCACCTAACCTACTAAACATCACAGCTTATCCTAACCTGCCCTAAATGTACTCAGGACACTTATATTAGCCTACAGCTGGGCAAAATCATCTAATGCAAAGCCTATTTTATAATAAAGTGTTGCATATCTCACATAATGTGTTGAATACTATACTCAGAATGAAAAACAGAATGGTTGTATTGCTTTTGCACCATCGTAAAGTCAGAAAACCATAAGGCAAACCATCATGAAGTTGGGGACTGCTCAAACTTTTTACCCCTTTCCCTGTTCTATTCTTTGGAAGTGAGTCATTTAGTTCAGACCGTACTCAAGAGGAGGGAAATAAAGTTCCATCAATTGGAGCTTAATTGAAACTGGAATGGCTAGTTTCTACATAAATTATTTAGAGTCCTTTTGTAAGAAAGATTTGTTCCTTCCCTCCATTTATTTATTCCATTTATGTTGATACAGACGCATGTATATTTATTTTATACTTTGGGCTAGAATCTATTTTTCTTGCTCAAATTGTTACAGCTTTGGCCATTGGGAGCTTCTTCAGACTGGCTTCTGTGTCCTTTGACATGTCCCCATCCTCTTGTTTCTGAGTACTTCTCTACTTTGGCATTACAAAAGATGTTCCAGGCTCATCTTATAGTTTTCCCTGCTACAGCCCTAGAATCATCCATTTTTCTATGGAGCCCTCGTTCCTTTTACTGGAAACTGGGATTTGGAAACCAATCTGGGTGCTGGATATGCTCATTGCTACTGGGAATCGCTGCTTCTACGCCCTGTCAGCAGATAGAGCTAGAAAATATATGGCTGTATATGAATACATGATTGACATATATCTATAATTGCTTTCTGTATCTGGCCATCTGTATACATGTTAAGCTAAACATGAGTTCATACTGACATCTCAGACTCTAATCCATTGCTGCAGGGCTTGTTCTTGCCTTCCTCTTGCATATTTCTAACTTCCTTCTCTAATAGGGAGAAACCCCAGTCTCATTGTTTCCAACCTGTCTACTCATTTGTTCAACTCTGGTATAGGTATAGAGTGGTTTCAGAATTGCTAACCTATACCCCTGTGAGAATCGTATTTGCCAACTGGGCATTTCTTCTTTGAAGGAAATACATACCCCACAGGAAGTGTCTCTACGCTTCAGCATACACAGATCTGAACAGTGTTCTGAGTGAATCACATTGCAGGACAGAAATTACTTTTAAAAATTCCATAATGGGCCCATTGCGGTGGCTCAGGCCTATAATCCCAGCACTTTGGGAGGCTGAGGTGAACGGATTACCTGAGGTCAGGAGTTTGAGACCAGCCTGGCCAACATGGTGAAACCCTGTCACTACTGAAAATACAAAATTAGCTGGGCTTGTTGGTGCATGCCTGTAATCTCAGGTGCTCGGGAGGCTGAGGCAGGAGAATTGCTTGAACCCAGGAGGCGGAGGTTGTGGTGAGCTGAGATTGCATCGCTGCACTCAAGCCTGGGTGACAGAGGGAGATTCTGTCTCAAAAAAAAAAAAAAAAA